AAAGGTGCCTCTATTGGTGTCTTGCAATACAATGTCTCAAAAAAAGAAAAAGTCCCTTTGCTTTTCCAGTTCTCAAAACAGGAGAGGTTCCTGGTTTTTATTGTTTTGTTGTTTTGTTGTTTTTTTTTAGTTTGCTTTGGTGTTTTATTAAAAAGCAAAGGTTTAAGTAGAGACAAACAAGTGTGTACCTAGAGTAGTTTCTCAATATCCTGGAGTCCAACTCTGCAATTCTGTTTCAAGCTAACTGTAGTCTCATGTAATCTATGGTCTAATTTAACAAGGTTAAAATGTTAGAATTAAGAGACCATATTGCCTACATCAATGCTAACCACTCATCTTACCTAACTACTCTAAATTCTCCTGAATATTATCACTTCTTCACTGCCTTATGTTATTTTGTAACTTTCTAGTGCTGTGTGTATATTTATCTCCCTGAGTATCTTAAATTGTACATTATTTTGAACTTCTCACTGTGCCCTGCACTAAGTTCAGAAAAGGACTTGGGTTTTATTTTGTTGTTGTTGTTGTTTTGTTTTGCTATGGCTGGAAAAAAAATTTAAAAAGAAAGAAAGGGGCTTGTTGAATGTTGATGAATTAATCCCTTACGCAAGGGATTACTGGAGCAGGTGGGAAGAAATCTGAATAGTAAAATACCTGATAAAGCTGATTCAGATATTAGATGTGCCAGTAAATAAAGCAAATTAACAAAAGCTCAGCTGCAATCTGTGAGAACAAATGGATTCAAGGAAATAACTGGAGCACAGATTCTGAAAGCAGCTTAGTAACACTGAAGATCAAATCTGCACATGAATCTGGACATCTCGCATATTTCAATTGTTCATAGAACATCATAATTTTTAAATTAACAATAGTATCTTCTATCTTCATAAAATTCATGTAATGTTTTTAGCCCCTCACTGGCAGTGATTCTATTATGTTTTCTTTCCTTTTTGTTTTTTTGTTTTTTGAGACAGCCTTGCTCTGTCACCAAGGCTGGAGTGCAGTGGCCTGATCTGGGTTCACCGCAACGTCTGCCTCCTGGTTCAAGCAGTCCTCCTGCTTCAGCCTCCACAGTAGCTGAGATTACAAGCGTGCGCCACCCTGCCCAGCTAATTTTTGCATTTTTATTTTTATGTATTTATCTATTTATTTTTGAGATGGAGTCTCGCTCTGTCACCCAGGCTGGAGTGCAGTGGCGCGATCTCGGCTCACTGCAACCTCCACCTCCCAGGTTCAAACAATTCTCCTGCCTCAGACTCCCGAGTGGCTGGGATTACAGCGGCGTGCCACCACACTCGGTTAATTTTTGTATTTTTAGTAGAGTTGGGGTTTCACCATGTTGGCCAGGCTGGTCAGGGACTCTGGAACTCCTTACCTCAAGTGATCCACCCACCTCAGCCTCCCAAAGTGGTGGGATTACCGGCCTAAGCCACCACACCTGGCCAATTGTTTTCTTTTTTTTTTTTTCTTGGAGTGCAATGGCGTGATCTCCTTGGTTCAAGCGATTCTCCTGCCTCTCTCTCACGCCTCCGGGGTTCAAGCAATTCTCCTGCCTCAGTCTCCCAAGTAGCTGGGATTACAGGCATGTGCCACCACCCCCAGCTAATTTTGTACTTTTAGTACAGATGGGGTTTCTCCATGTTGGTCAGGCTGGTCTTGAACTCCGGACCCCAGGTGATCCACCCACCTCGGCCTCCCAAAGTGCTGGGATGATAGGCATGAGCCACCGTGCCCGGCAGCCAATTCTGTTTTCTTAAGGCTTTTGGGGATCATCAAAACAAGGATAAACATAACTCAATACCTAACGATGGCTAGAAATGTGATCTTTTTGCATATTGAATATTTGCAAGTTGAATATTAAGGTAAAGTAAAAAGATTGCTAATGGTCTTCATTACCATACCTCCCAGCCTACATCTTTCTCCCGTGCTGGGTGCTTCCTGTCCTTGAACATCGGACTCCAAGTTCTTCAGTTTTGGGACTCGGACTGGCTCTCCTTGCTCCTCAGCTTGTGGACAGTCTATTGTGGGACCTTGTGATCATGTAAGTTAGTACTTAATAGACTTATATATATATCTCTCTCCATCCTATTAGTTCTGTCCCTCTAGAGAACCGTGACTAATACACCATATATACCTAAAAAGAGGATCCATTTAATTGAAGTCACCTCCCTCTCCAATCTAGCTTAGAACAAGGAAGTGTGTTAATGATTCCAAAATATCATTAATGCCATTTCTTAGTCCTTAATGACAACAATAACAAAATCGAGTTCTCGGCATTACATTTTATTTCAAGGCAAAATCTTGTAAATCTGAAGTAGAGTTGATTATGGTAGCATATGGTTTAGGGGTTTTCAAGTTTAAGATAAATGAGTTTGCATTTATTTTTTAAGCACTTTGAAAATAAAGAATTCTATGCTTGGCCAGGCGCGGGGGCTCACACCTGTAATCCCAACACTTTGGGAGGCCAAGGTGGGTGGATCACCTGAGGTCAAGAGTTCGAGACCAGCCTGGCCAACATGACGAAACTGCGTCTCTACTAAAAATACAAAAATTAGCTAGGCATGCTGTCGGGCACCTGTAATCCCAGCTACTCAGGAGGCTGAGGCAGGAGAATCGCTTGAACCCGGGAGGCAGAGGTTGCAGTGAGCCAAGATCACGCCACTGCACTCCAGCCTGGGTGACAAGAGCAAGACTCCGTCTCAAAAAAAGAAAAAGAATTGTATGTTCATCTCTTATATCTGACTCTCATAGGTTTGAGCTTTTTCAGTTAGTCTGGAAATATAATTTTAGAAAAAAATTTAATTTTTAAATGTTTATTTTTTAAATCCATTTGAAATTTCTGTTCTACAGAAAAGTTTTAGCATCCATTTTTGCAATACTCCACAGGAAACAAAACTGAAACAGACAAGATTCTACAACGTATCTTCAAAATTAAGCACCTTTCTTCAATGACATTTAAAATTCGTTATCACAGTTAATTATGTTTTATTGCTTGGTCTTCTAAGGTTGTTCCAAAGAAGACAAAATATTTTTTGACTTTTTATCCCAAGGGATGGGCTAAAAGTTTTATGAAATGTAAAGCTCCAAAAAACTTTTTACTACTGTATCCCCAGCACATGGACCAGTAGTTGGCACGTGGTAGACACTCGTCAATATTCCTTGTTGAATGCATAAGATGCCTTTTTGGTTTATATGTATGTGAAGAGAATACATAACAAGAGAGGAACAAATTCATTATTCAGATTGTACTGTATTGTGATTTTTTTTTTTTAAAAAAAAAGATAACCTAGGTTAAAGTCCATCTTATCTTTGTAAGGGGTAAATTACTTCCAACTTTATTCTTGAGTTCAGATAAACACTATTCATTCTAGAGCCAATGATTACTAGGAATAGAAGAACCGGTCTATTTCTTACTATTGTACTTTTAAATTACTTATATGCTTTTAGAGGGAAAGGCGTAATTTTCCTTATTCAACTTTGTACTCCCTCTATACTCTCTATTTGACATAATGTTTGTTTCCACATAATGTTATTTTGTCATAGTCTTTTTTTTCTTTTTTTCTGGAGATAGAGTCTTGCTCTGTCGCTCAGGCTGAAGTGCAGTGGAGCAATCTCGGCTCACTGCCACATCCACCTCCTGGGTTCAAGTGATTCTCCTGTCTCAGCCTCCAGAATAGCTGGGACTACAGGCACGCCACCATGCCCTGCTAATTTTTTTGTATTTTTAGTAGAGACAGGGTTTCACTATGTTGCCCAAGCTGGTCCCGAACTCCTGAGCTCAGGCAATCCGCACCCCGGCCTCCCAAACTGGTAGGATTACAGGCGTGAGCCACCGCGTCCGGCCAAGTGTTACAGTCTTTAGTGCAGACCAAGTAGTGGCCAATAAATCTTGTAGAAACGAAAGTACTCATTTGCTTTTAACTGGGCCAAGACTAGAATAGCGTGATCTGTAAGTAAAATAACAGCCATTTCCCCAAATATCAAAGCAAAAGCTCTCCTGATGTGTAGGTGAGATGAAGGGGCTTAAAAGTGAAGATTAAACCCACTTCAAAGTGTAAAGAGTATCTATCCATTTATCATTGCAGCAACGTTCCAACGTGAACAATCCGATTCCAAGTACAAAACAGCCCAATTCAGTCTCTTCGCCGTACTCACATCCATAGCACAAAATACCCTGCAGGGCGCTGGAATGAGCACCACTGCAGTTAATAATCTACTCTATAAATACTGGACGAATCCAAATTTTCACTGGATTACACAGAATACTTCTTTTAAAAATGCAACTAGTTTTAGATGTCACAACAGGGTTCCATCAAATACCACATTTCCAAATCTTACCACGAGAATGTGTATCCATTTCAACTGCAGTTATTTTGTGTCTAAAGCTGTGCACTCTGCTTTGCAACAGGATAAACCCGGTGGATAAAAGCTGAAATCCGACCCTGTCCAAATTAAAAGGCTAAGAAAAAGTGGAGAAGCGCGCTGGCGTGGAGTTGACACAGAAACACTGCAAGGGCTGGAGACAGGGCTTACTTAGGTTCGTGGAATACACAGGCAGCACCACCAACCCGGCTCTCCGGAAAAGAGAAAGTCCGGTGAGAAAGGTGAAAAATGACAAGGCACCGTTCTCCGACTTGGTGAAAAACACCCAATGCAAACAGACCAGGGTTCAGAGCGGAAGAAAACTAGCGAAAAGCAGGCAGCCAAGCGTGGCGAGCACAGCTCTCGGGTCCACCCCGGAGTGGACCCGCGGCGACTGCAGCCATGCGGAGGCGGAAGCCGAGGCCGAGGCCGCTTAGGCACCGCAGCGCTGGCGGGCAGTGCACAAAGACGCGAGGCCACGCCCAGGAGGGGCCGGCCCTTTGGCCGGAAGGGGGCGGGGCGGCGCGCGGGCCCGGTCGCCTAGGCAACGGGCTCGCTTGGCGTCCGGGCTTCTCAGAAAGCCCCAAATCCGGGAGCTTCGGGAGGGCAGAGGCGATGGGGACGGGGTGCGGGGGGGGGGGCTGTTGGGGAGCCGAATGGCCTCAGGACGCCGGCCGACTGGATGTCTGCATTCTGTTGGCGGCCTTTCCAAATGTGGGGAGCAGCCTCCGAGAGCGGTGTTCGTGGCACAGGGCGGGAAGAGATAAAGGCTAGGGAAGGCGCCTCTCGGGCCTATCCACCTCTTATGGGGCTGGGCACTAGGAAGCAGCTTCCCTTTGTGCCCCTTTGTCTCCAAGCCGTTCCAAACTGAGTACCGGGAGGCGACACAAAGGGAGGGCGGTGACGGATGGCGCAGGCGCGGGAGCCGCCTAGGCTGCTGGGAGTGGTGGTCCCGCCGCGGAATTGGTAGGTCTCCCGCGCACTCCGCGGCCTCAGCTCGGAGGACACCGAGAGGTTGCCAGCGCGCATGCGCCGCCACTTCCGCCCGTGCCCGGTCCTCCTCTTCCTTCCGCCTCCCGGAGGACTTGGGTTTCTAGTAGTAAGAGTCCGGGGGGCATTACGGTCTCCCCGCCTCCTCTTCATCGTGATTGGGCTGTCAAAGTGAGGTTGGCAAGTGGATTGGCTACTGTGGTTGCCAGTTCTGTTCCGGGCCATACTTATACCGCGCTGTGGGGCGGGGACGAAGAGAGTCAGGCCTGGGCTGAGGAGCGGACTCCGTTAGTCGCTGCGTGCCATGGCCTCGGAGGCTGCTGTCCCGCGGCCCGTTAGGTCCTGGTCGGGTTTTCAGCGAAGCAGGCAGCTCCCCTGCGTTTCCCGGCGGGCGTGCTGCGCCGCCCAACGGGCTCTGCCTCCAAGTGCCAAAAACTCCTAGTAAAGTTTGCGCCTCGCCCGCAGTCCCCGCCCCAGCGGCCCTGACGGTGTCCCCTCCGCGACCCTCGCCCCTGGCAGAAGTGACAGGCAAGGCCACGCCCCCGCGCGGGTCGGCCTCTAGCCCGCAGCCCCCGGGGCCCGGGACGGTGAGGGGCGTGAATGCGGCGGGGGGCGGGGCCGTCGCCGGGGGAGGGGGCCGAGGCGCATGCGCGCTGCGCAGCGGGGCTGAATGTTTCCCAAGTGTTTGAAACTGGTATTTGGGTTTTCCACGTTGGACAAGTGCGGCTCGGCGGCCGGCGGAGCGCGCCCCTTCCCGCTGCCCGCTCCGCTCCTCTCTTCTCCCCAGCCCAGTGGGCGGGTGGGCGGCGGCGGCCGCGGCGCTGGGCCCTCTCCCGCCGGTGTGTGCGCGCTCGTACGCGCGGCCCCCAGCGCCAGCCCCGCCGCTGAGAGGGGGCCTGCGCCGCCGGCCGGGGCGTGCGCCCGGGAGCCACCGCCACCGCGGCCCGCGCCCCCAGGCGCTGGGGTACCCGCGGACCCGGAGGCGGCGGACGGGCTCGGCAGATGTAGCCGCCGGTCCGGAGCAGGAGCCGGCGGGGGGCGCCGGGAGAGCGAGGGCTTTGCATTTTGCAGTGCTATTTTTTCAGGGGGGCGGGGGGTGGAGGAAGCGGAAAGCCGCGGCGAGTCGCCGGGGACCTCCGGGGTGAACCATGTTGAGTCCTGCCAACGGGGAGCAGCTCCACCTGGTGAACTATGTGGAGGACTACCTGGACTCCATCGAGTCCCTGCCTTTCGACTTGCAGAGAAATGTCTCGCTGATGCGGGAGATCGACGCGAAATACCAAGGTACGGCCGGGTGATGGATGGGCGGGGGCGGCCGCCTCCATCCCGGCGGGTCCGGGCGCGCCGCGGAGCCGGCCCGGTCCTGCCGTGGAGCGGAGGAAGCGGCCGGCTCCGCAGCGGCGGCCCTCGGCAGGGGCAGGAACAAAAGGTCTGGAGCGCCTTTGATTCGCCAAGGTCCTTGTGTGCAAAGCCCGGGACACGGAGGAGGAAGGAGGCGCGAGAGGTCTCGCTGCAAGGCTGCGCGACCAAAGCGCTCTTTGTAGTGAAGTGATGAGGCGGGTGCTGCGGGGGAGGGGGCGGCGGGTCCAAGCCGCGTCCTCTAGGAGGGGGTGCAGAATACGGCGCGAGATGGAGGGATGTGCCGGCGCCTGGGGCTGTAGGACGCCGAGATGTGGCTGCAGGAGGAGGGCGGCTGTGGGCCGGGGTTCCAGCGGACCCGGTGCCTCGGTCCGGAGCAACGCCGCTCCCCCGGCCCTTCTTCGCCGCCCCCCACCCAGTCCCCAATCCGAGTGTTACATAAAGTACCGGGTAGTACTCCGTCCGGGGTAGCTCGGTCGCCCCCGCCCAGTCCCCTCCGGCCCTCACTTGGCACTGGACACCGAGTAGGGGCCGACTGCGAGGGGCGACGCCGCCGGTTGTAGTTTGCGGAGGACGAGGGTTTTTCTCTGTGTGCCGTGGGGAAGGGAAGGGGAGGAGCGGAGGCGGGGAAGGCGCCCATCTGCGCTGCGCTGCGCTCGGGGGGGCGCGGGCAGATCACTGGCTTGGGGAGGATTGTGGCAGATGAAAGGACCTGTGGGTCGTTCTCTGCAGACCTGGCCGAGAGAGGTGGCGAGTTCGTGTCCGCCGGGAATTGTTGGCTGTTGGCGAAAGTTTTCTGCGAGGTCAGTCAAGGCTTTGGGGGCTCTGTTTTGAATGTGGATCACCACTCGGAGTTTACTAATGTTTACAAGGCTACGCAGTAGGGAAACGGAAGAGTTAGGTGGGGGCAAAAAAAAAAAAAAAAAATTCATCGCCATCCCCAACAGTACCACACACCCCTATCGCGAAGGCGCCCCTGCGCGCTCTATCCAAGACGTAGTTTCGCAGCTTCTTTTATAGGAATCTCATTAGCATATTGTGGAACGTCCCGCCTCAGCCTCCCAGTGGTTGGCTGTGACGTCCTTCGTGGAATGTCCTTATCATTCCCCTGCGGAACGATTGGTCGCTGAGGCGGATGAAGGCGGGTGTAGCGCAATAACTGGCATGGGTCTGTGTTTCCGCTGTCTTCTTTTTTCTTTTTCAGGGAGGAGCGGGGTGGAGGGTGGTTGATTTGAACGTCTTCGGGTCGCTCGGCCTCCAGCCTCGGATTGGTCCTTGACGCTGCTGGGGCGGGCTGTGCTCTTCCGCCTTGCGGTGTGGTTGGTTCTCCTCCTGGCCTCCGCCCTCCAAATCGGCGATTCCCATATGCGGCGGCTCTCGGGGGGCGCGGCGAGTCTCCCGCTGGCCTCCTCCCCATTGGCTGGAGGGCCGGCTGGTGTCGCCCAGGCCCCTCTCCCCACTCAGCACCGCCACTTTTGGGCGCGGAGCTATGGCAGTAGCGGGGACCCCGGGGCTCGGGGCTTGGGGCCGGGGCTGCAGTTCGGGCCGCCTCCCGCGACCCGCGAGACCGGCCCGCAGACAGTCCCAGGCTGCATCTTTGCTGACCCGAGGGAGGGGCCGCGCGTGGCCGGGGAAACGTGAGTGACTGGGGCTGCGTCCACGAGCGGGACCCTCGGCGCGGGAACTTTCCTGGAAGGTGCTGTCCTCGGGGCGGGCGGGCTCCGTGGGGTGACCCTGGGGCTCTGGACGGAAGGGAGGCAGGGGCTGAGACCACCCTGATCTTTCGACGATAGAAAAAAGCGCGGGGCGGGGTGCAGGGTCCCAGCCGTCAAGACAGCAAAGTTCACGGAGCCACTTTGTTCTCCTGTCGTTGCTGGGGAGAGCCTGGCTTGCTGCTTGCTTCAGGTTCACCTAGGATGATGAACTTTTTGGCTTCAGGAAAGATCACAGTCCCGCCCCTGCGGGAGTACTGGAGCCGTGCAACTGGGAGCGCTGAGAAGCGCGAGAATCTGTCGCGAGGGTCACAGCTCCTTGGACTTCGCTGTAAATGCTGAGCTCTGCCGCGTAGTTCTGAAAGACGAAGCTTGTTTGCACAGACCTACTCTGCAGGAAGTCAGACGTCTTTTGCTTAGTAGGCATCGGTTGTATGCTAATTCGTAAACGGATTATAATTAGTTTATCGATTTAAAATGGTGTTTGAGATTGCTTGAATTATTTTTCAAACATTATTATAAAAATACCTACCCACCCCCGGGAAGTCCGCTTCATAAAGAATTTCAGGGCAACCCTTACGTAAAATTAAAATACATTTAAAATAATTGGACAAACCAATTTAAATGTTGCTACAATCTCATTTACTCTGTGAATTCCATGTGTTGCTGCTTTCCATGGTAATGTTGGTGTGGAGTATGTTTGGAAGAAAGGTAGCAGTGTGTCTGAAGCTGAGTTGCTGGCATTCAAGGAGCAGAGTGTCTGGAAGGATGGCTTGCTATTTCGCAGTGGTGGTGTTCCTGTCTATAAATATTTGTACTTGGTGGTTTTGTTGATAAAATACTTTGTTTGGGGTATCAAAGAAATATTAGGTAACAGAAATACTTCTTGGTAATTTTGCAATTGGATACCTGTTTCTCTTCCCCACAAATTAGGCTTCACCTGGATGGAAGCTTGCTTGTGATGTAAAATAACCTCTATGTTATTAAATTTTAAATTTATATGATAGTTTTCTTTTCCATCAAATGACAATATTGTTTTCAGAACTTTGATTACTGATGAAAAGAAGTGATACCATTTTGTAAGCCTAAATCCATTTAAAAATAAATGGTACGCACTCATATTTTAACATCTATGATAAATAAGTTGGATAAATTGGTATTACTTGGATACGTTGAACACAGCTATTTATTTTTATAATTAGTGACTATATGAGACTAGGGCATTCCTCCTGGTGGCAGGCAGCCTGCATTGTTCCTCTAGGAAATGTCTTCAGAGCTGCCTTTAGTTTGAGAATATACTCTGGAAAATAATACCATTTAGAGAAGCTTCAGTGTTGGCCTAACTTCTTATGTTTACTCTAGTGTTAAGTATATATATCTTATAACTATTTGGAGATGAGATCTGGAAAGGGAGGGGGTACCATTTTAGACAATCCCTCCCACTCCCAGCCCCTTCCCATACACTTCCTAGTTTACAAGTAGTATTGTTGGCCTGGCACGGTGGCTCACTCCTGTAATCCCAGCACTTTCCGAGGCTGAGGCAGGCGGATCACGAGGTCGAGAGTTGGGAGACCAGCCTGACCAACATGGAGAAACCCTGTCTCTACTGAAAATACAAAATTAGCTGGGCGTGGTATTGCATGCCTGTAATCCCAGCTACTCAGGAGGCTGAGGCAGGAGAATCGCTTAAACCTGGGAGGCCAAGGTTGCAGTGAGCCGAGATCGCGCCATTGCACTCCAGCCTGGGCAACAAGAGCGAAACTCTGTCTCAACAAAAAAAGTAGTATTGTTGCCTTGTTTAAAGAGACTGCAAAAAGGTTTTAGGAGAATAATCTGGTACTGTTTAATTTAATGGTTATTGTTTGAGGAAAAAGAACTCTGGAATTTCCGTGTGTTTGAGTAGCCTTTTGGCAAGACTGTTTACTTCCCTTATTTCAACTAGATTTTTTTAACAGCTTTTGTTTCTTGAGAAATTGTCTAATTACACTTTAAAATCATATGCACTGTCCTCTAACATGCCCAAGAAGGTTTATATTTAAATACTGAAGAGGTTTTCTTTTCTTTTTGATGGCATTTTAAAGTCCATTGACTTTAATAGATATGAAGATGTTTTTGTTTAAGCAGTAGATGCAAAAGTAAAATCTACCAGCTTCGTTTTAAAGCAAGGCTAGTACATTCACTGCAGTTAAAAAATAATAATAGTGGCCCATCACAGTTGTGCTCCTGTAGTCCTAGCTACTCAGGAGGCTCAGGTGGGAGGGTCACTTGAGCCTGGGAGGTCGAGGCTGCAGTAAGCCGAGATTGCACCACTGCACTCCAGCTTGGGCGACAGAGACAGACCTTGTCCCTAAAATAATAATAACAACAGTCATAATAATAATAAAGCAAAGCTAGGTTTTTCTGGATTATTGTGGCAGAACTGTTCTTGCTTTCACTAATACAGAGGAATAACATGCTAGAATAAATGTGGGGACTGAAACTGAGGACCTAAGTCACAAAGTAGCCTGGACCTTTGCTGTTAACCCGGTTCTTTAAATCATAGAGAGCTATTATATAAATTTATACACATTCTCTAATTTAACAGGATATTCTAGATGTTGGTATGTTAAAATAAAGACCTTTTTTATTTGAAATATTCAAATAATTTATATTTTATCGTTTGTATATTGTGTATAATGTAATAAATACCATGTTTATATATAATGTTATATGTATATTAATAATTGTATTCAAATAGAAACATTTGAGTAAAAATGATGGCAGTATAGGACATAATCATTAATAGAAAGTATTAATACAGGTTGGGTCCCGAGCACTGCACCTCATTTAAATGTTTCCTCTTAATGGCTTCGGGCATTGTCACCCGTGCGTGCGTGGGAACTGTTCTGTGGTTCTCTCTGGGATGGCTGGAGCGGCTCCTCTTCCTGTGGGAGCTGTTCTGGCATTTGCATTTAGTTCCAGGGCACAGGAACAGAGAGGCCCTGGAGGGCCTGTGGCTGGTGGGCTGGGCAAGCCGTGCGCTGGCCCCTGGGCCCCCTGCCAGCCCTCTCCGTAGACCCGGGTCCGGGGCCGTGTGGGTTGTCCCGATGTCCTGCTCGCGAGTGATGCCTGTCCTTCTTGCCCCCAGAGATCTTGAAGGAGCTGGACGAGTGCTACGAGCGCTTTAGCCGCGAGACGGACGGGGCGCAGAAGCGGCGGATGCTGCACTGTGTACAGCGCGCGCTGATCCGCAGCCAGGAGCTGGGCGATGAGAAGATCCAGATCGTGAGCCAGATGGTGGAGCTGGTGGAGAACCGCACGCGGCAGGTGGACAGCCACGTGGAGCTGTTCGAGGCGCAGCAGGAGCTGGGCGACACAGCGGGCAACAGCGGCAAGGCTGGCGCGGACAGGCCCAAAGGCGAGGCGGCAGCGCAGGCTGAGAAGCCCAACAGTAAGCGCTCGCGGCGGCAGCGCAACAACGAGAACCGCGAGAACGCGTCCAGCAACCACGACCACGAGGACGGCGCCTCAGGCACACCCAAGGAGAAGAAGGCCAAGACCTCCAAGAAGAAGAAGCGCTCCAAGGCCAAGGCGGAGCGGGAGGCGTCCCCTGCCGACCTCCCCATCGACCCCAACGAACCCACGTACTGTCTGTGCAACCAGGTCTCCTACGGGGAGATGATCGGCTGTGACAACGACGAGTGTCCCATCGAGTGGTTCCACTTCTCGTGCGTGGGGCTCAATCATAAACCCAAGGGCAAGTGGTACTGTCCCAAGTGCCGGGGGGAGAACGAGAAGACCATGGACAAAGCCCTGGAGAAATCCAAAAAAGAGAGGGCTTACAACAGGTAGTTTGTGGACAGGCGCCTGGTAGTGAGGAGGACAAAATAAACCGTGTATTTATTACATTGCCGCCTTTGTTGAGGTGCAGGGAGTGTAAAATGTATATTTTTAAAGAATGTTAGAAAAGGAACCATTCCTTTCATAGGGATGGCAGTGATTCTGTTTGCCTTTTGTTTTCACTGGTACACGTGTAACAAGAAAGTGGTCTGTGGATCAGCATTTTAGAAACTACAAATATAGGTTTGATTAAACACTTAAGTCTCAGACTGATTTCTTGGGGGAGGAGGGGGACTAAACTCAACCTAACACATTAAATGTGGAAGGAAAATACTTCATTTAGCTTTTTTATTTTAATAAAAGTAATATTACTTTATGAACAAATTTTTTAATTGGCCGGTCGCCAAAAATACAGCCTATAGTAAATGTGGTTCTTGCTGCCATGATGTATATCCATATAACAATTCAGTAACAAAGGTTTCAAGTTTGAAGATTATTTTTTAAAAAGGTAAATGGTTAAATTTTACATGATAGATATTTTATATTTTGGCCTGTTCCCCAAATGGCCATTTTAAAATGCTTGGGTACACTTCTCTTAAACAAGCGGTCTAGCCAAGGAACCTCAAGTCATGCTTTTGCTATCACGAATCATAGTGTAGCCATCTTTAATTTATATCAGGTGTATAAATGTACATTTCCAAGTGAACTTGCACTTGCTATATTATGATTGGAAGTGCAGTCAGCAGATGCTGTTGTGAAGCTAATGTCACAATTATGTGCAAAGGTGTGCTTCCTGCTGTATGTGAGCTGTAAAAATGTTACGTGAAGAAATAAATGAAACTTGGCCAGTTTGTTCCTCTAGTAGTATATTTAATTTTGACATAAGTAACTTTTAAAATTTGTCTTAAAAATTTATACACCAGCAGTTTAGACGAAGCCTTAAGTAAATTTTGTATTATTGTTCTCACTTATTATTAATAATGAAGTTACCTAATTGCCAGCAAATTAATACGTGTCAAAACAGAATCTGTATTCAGACCCTGGGTCAGGAAATTACTGCCCACTTGTCAAGTCCAGTCCACCACCTGTTTGAACATTATATGGAGTTTAAATTCTAGTGTCCATAAATAAAGTTTCAGTGGAACAGAGCTGTGCTTATGTGCGTATGTATTGTCTGTGGATGCTTTTGCAAAATGGCAGAGTTCATTAGTTGCAACTGAGACCTTTTGAGTTGACAAGCCAAAACTATTTTCTGGCCCTCTGCAGAAAGAGTTTGCTGACCTCTGATTTAAACTGGCATCTAACATTGATCTGCTCACATATTGAAAGGGTCAGTGGAGTTTTCATTTATTTTTTATTTTTTTGAGATGGAGTTTTGCTCTTGTTCCAGGCTGGAGTGCAATAGCGCGATCTTGGCTCACCGCAACCTCCGCCTCCCAGGTTCAAGCGATTCTCCTGCCTCAGCCTCCTGAGTAGCTGGGATTACAGGCACCTGCCACTACGCCTGGCTAATTTTGTATTTTTAGTCGAGACACGGTTTCTCCATGGTGGTCATGGCTGGTCTCGAACTCCCGACCTCAGGTGATCCACTCGCCTCGGCCTTCCAAAGTGCTGAGATTACAGGTGTGAGCCACCACGCCTGGCCGGAGTTTTAATTTCTTTCTTTTTATTTTTTGAGATGGAGTCTCGCCCCGTCTCCAGCCTGGAGTGCAATGGCGCGATCTTGGCTCTCTGCAACCTCCGCCTCTCGGGCTCAAGTGATTCTCCTGCCTCAGTCTCCTGAGTAGCTGGGACTACAGGTGCGTGCCACCATGCCCAGCTAATTTTTGTATTTTTAGTACAGATGGGGTTTCACCATGTTGGCCAGTATGGTCTCGATCTCTTGACTGTGATCCACACGCCTCGGCCTCCCAAAGTGCTGGGATGACAGGCGTGAGCCACCACGCCCTAAGTGATACACGATTCACTTTAACTTTGTATGTGGTAAAATCAGTTTCTTTCCATGATCTGTTTCACAGTCTCTGTGAAGCTGCCATGAAGAAGCAGTGAGTGATGACATTATAGAAGCTAAGTATACGGCATATATTTATTTTAAGTAAAACATTAAGTTTGCTGATTGTTTACTTGGGATAAACAATTATTGTGAACTTTATTTGTGCTGGACATAAGTGGCTGACTACTTTCCAGTGAAATTCCATCACAGAGGGGTACTCGGTAGAGAAATGCAAACTGTAGTTGGTCATACACTGAAATTTGAACTTTTTACATATCAATATCTACAAATAGGTGTTTACTTTCCTGCAAAACTCCAGAACATTTAAGAGTCTTGGGTGTTTAAATTTGATGAGATTTACCCAAATAGTGAACAAAAAGAGTTTATGAAAATAAGTTATAGAATTAAAATAATAAAAATCCAGTGACAATAAAAATAGCTGCAGTCTTTGCTTATATAAAATTTTATGCTAATTTTCCACTTCTATATTAATTGGAGGTAATAATGGAAATTAAGTTATAGAAATGAAGATTCAATGAAATGCAGTTGCTAATACTGGATTTCTTCATATTCAGTTTTGGTGTGGGCAACTGGTGAAGAGAGACGGCTCAGAGGCCAAGCCTTGCAATCTAGGAACCCAGCCCTGTCCTTAAGGGCTTGATCTTGAATAAATTACTTAACAGTTGTTTCACAGATGGTGGTTCTGAGAAATACATGAGGTTAAGTGAGTAAGGCACTGGCATATTCAAATGTTGGATATTTTTTCTCTAGCTTTCTTCAAGTTTCTCGTAAGGACAGGTGGGTAGCCACTTACTCTTTTTAAAAATTAGATACAATACAGAGTCACGTTTTGTTGGATTGGCAGTCTTAAATCACTCGTTATTTCCAGTGGACATAAAAAAATCACAGATCAGTACTTAAAACACTCAAGATTTGGGATTTAGATCATGATTAGATACAGTAGAAAGATCCTGGAATTCCAACATGAGGACCAAAAATGGTACTGAATTCTTTTTGAAAAGCAGATTAGTGAAAAGCGATCTAATGTAGAACAGTTGCTTTTACGTAGACGTTCAATGCATATTTGTTGTATAATAACCAGGTTATTTACAGTTCGGATAAAGGGTCCAAAAAGTGTTTTCATTATGATGTAATACTTAGTATTGTAAACTGGACTAAGGAAACGTTGTATGCTCGAGGAAGTGTTGAGCAGCCATACTGTGAGAGGTGCTTCAGGAGTCACAGACCTACAGGCACTTACTTGCCGGTGACTGGGATGTTGGCTGGTGGTTTTCTTTTGGTGTGGTTAGAGCTATGCGAGTTGTGTCAATATTTGAGACTATTGGTGGTTGCCAATGCTGAATAAAGCATTTATCAAAGTAAAAGCCATTTCCTGTTATTATATATTATTTTAGAACGAGTACACATTTCGTTGTGATATCCTTTTGTAGTTCACGTTCATGTAGTGTCCCAGGCAAAATAAGTTACCTGGAACTTACCTGAACATTTTAATATTTCATTAAAGTATTAAATCTTTTTATTAGGCAAAACGATTAAGAGCTTCATCTGTGCACTTCTAAAGGCATGATGTGCTCTTGAGGACGTTTAGCTTTTTTCCTTCTATCTAAAGTAATTTGTGGCTCTGGAATCCTTGGCATATACGGAGCAAGGTTTTACTGATACTGTCTGCCTCCCTCTCTGTTGTAGCGTGTAGAATGTGCCTCTTTCATCGCAGAGTCCAGGCAGTTCTCAGCACTTTGGGGGCTAGATTTCTGGGTTTTTTTTTAATCTGGAAACATTGTTAGTCCATGACTGCATTTCTTGAGGCACTCACGTTCTCTGCACAGGCTCTCATTCTGAATTTATGTGGAGGGCTTAGGAAGACACGGCTAATGGGAAGGAGGTGGGAGAGCAAATGTGTGTTATGTTGCTAAGTCAAAATTGCCTCCTGAGGTTTTTTTATGAGGGGCTTTGTTTCAGAGGATTTATTTTAACTATTTTGTCTTCGTTTTTTAAGCAGCTCATCAGTGAGAATCCAACTATTACATTTTTTTTCCTCACAAACCAAACATTAGTGAGCTGTGCCCCCTGTGCCACCAAAAGAATGACAGGAATTCTATAACTGGAATGAAGAAAATCATTAAGTCAGTTCTCTTTCCTTACTTCAATACTATGTATTACCTGACTTTTTTCATAAAGATGGGGTTGGTATTTTTCCACTTAAAAACCCCAATCTGAAAAGAAGTCACTACAAACTGAATAACAGGTTAAATCTTTTTTTTTTTCCTGAGACGGTGTCTTGCTCTGTCACCCAGGCTGGAGTGCAGTAGCCTGATCTCGACTGACTGCAACCTCTGCTTCCCAGGTTCAGTGATTCTCTTGCCTCAGCCTCCCGAGTTGCTGGGATTACTGGCACGCACCACTATGCCCAGCTAATTTTTTTGTATTTTTGGTAGAGATAGAGTTGCGCCATGTTGGCCAGGCGGTCACGAACTCCTGACCTCATGATTCGCCTGCCTTGGCCTCCTAAAGTGCTGGGATTACAGGTGTGAGCCGCCATGCCCAGCCTAGGTTAAATCTTGACTGCAGCCAGTCAATGCTCCATTAAAGCAAATTTTTTCTTTTTCTTTTTCTTTCTTTTCTCTTTTTTTTTTTTTTTTTTTTTTTTTTTGAGACGGAATCTTGCTCTTGTTGCTCAGGCTGGAGTGCAATGGCACGATCTCAGCTCACTGCAACCTTCGCCTCCTGGGTTGAAGCTATTCTCCTGTCGCAGCCTCCCAAGTAGCTGGGATTACAGGCGTGCACCACCACGCCCGGCTAATTTTTGTATTTTTAGTAGAGACAGGGTTTTACCATGTTGGCCAGGCTGGTCTCGAACTCCTGACCTCTGGTGATCCACCTGCCTCACCCTCCCAAAGTGCTGGGACTACAGGCGTGAGTGAGCCACTGTGCCTGGCTAAGGTAGAAATTTTCTTTTTTTTTTTTGAAGTGATTAGAAAAGTTTATGTTGTGCTTCGGATTTTTTTTTCTTTTTCTTTTTCTTTCTTTTTTTTTTTTTTTTTGAGATGGAGTTTTGCTGTTGTTGCCCAGGCTGGAGTGTAATGGTGCAATCTTGGCTCACTGCAGCCTCCGTCTCCTGGGTTCAAGAGATTTTCCTGCCTCAGCCTCCCGAGTAGCTGGGATTACAGGCATGTGCCACCACACCACGCCCAACTAATTTTGTATTTTTAGTAGAGATGGGATTTCTCTATGTTGGTCAGGCTGGTCTGGAACTCCCGACCTCAGGTGATCCACCCGCCTCAGTCTCCCAAAGTGCTGAGATTACAGGCATGAGCACCTAGCCCCTTAGGATATTTTTCTAAGGCATCACAAGTTACACATCCAAACTCTTCAATGCTATCATATTTTATATTAAAGCAGAATTTTCTACGAAACAAGAAAATGCTTGTTTCAGCAAGCAACTTTAAGGTACTCAGTGTCACGGTGTACGTATATCAATATAGCCACCATTTATTGCCTTCTATATGCTAGACACTGCTAGCACTGTATACTTTATATTTTATGACAACCCTGCCAAAAAATGGACGCTTTTCCTGATGAAGGTGCCAAGACTCAGGTCAGGGACCTGACTTGCACAAGGCCAACGCCCTTCATCTGGCTCCAAAACCAACATCCTCAACCACCACCCGGCACCCAGAGGCCTCCTCATGGTCAGGACCTGATGTGGCTGCTGGTGTCCCCTGAACGCCTAACACGCCAGGAGCGTGCTGTCCTCCCAGCTCTGCGGGGGTCTTACGACTGAGAAAGGTGTAGAAGGTGAAAGAAGCGCTCATGGTCTCACGGGAGGAGAGAGCGAAAAAGTCGTAATTGCCGGGCTTCTTTTCCTGAATGAAGGGGTCTGCGGGAACCACGGATGTTTGCACTACCGAGTTCTCATGCTTCTGATTTTCCTCCAGGTAAACCAGGATGCTAACTTCAAGTTTCTTGTTTTGCTTTACAGTGAATTTTAGGATTGTAATTTACCTGCAAGGGTTTATTTGTTTGTTTTGTTTTGTTTTTTTGAGATTGAGTTTTGCCCAGGCTGGAGTGCAATGGCATGATCTCTGCTCACCGCAACTTCCGCCTCCCAGGTTCAAGCAATTCTCCTACCTTAGC